GATATCGTGGTTTGAAATCTGATTTATTTGTTTCGATTCCACAGGATGTTTGGTCGCTTGTCTAACCTTAGTTTGTTGTCCATCAGTCCACCTCGAACTTCACCCCAATGCCCCCAAAGACCCATTGTGTATTTCGTTTCGTTTTTTTTATACTTTCGGTGGCCTACACTACATAAAGATCTGACAAGTTGTACTGGAATGTCGTGTCAGGGGTCGCACGAGCAGTTCCGTGCAGGGCATTCCAAAACCTCGCCGTAAAAGACCGTTTCATTGGCTAATCCCACTCTTCAACCAAAACGCCGGTGATATAACAAACTCCTCCAGATCCTAGTGTAGTAAAGACAAATAAAAAGGAAATTTTGAACTATAAAAAAAAGAAACGAAACAGTATCTGTGTTTTAATCCGATCGGATGTACTTGTTATTTAAGGAAATGAAATGAAATGAAATAGGGTTTAACGTCCTACTGTTCTGCTCCTAAACTGGGCTAATGAAGACGGGCATACGCCATACAGTGTGCTATGAGGGAAATTTTGCCTGGGCAGCGGCGCTACGGCCTACTCTTATATCGAATTCCAACTACCAAGGGATCTTTTACGTGCACACCAATATGTACACGGGACCTCGGGTTTTCGTCCCATCCGAACGACCAGACAGCTGTCCTTGTCAGGCCCTCCGTCCTGCATCACTGACAAGGGGAAACCACGCCAGCTATTTCTGGAACATTCGGTATAAATATTAAGGCATTCGTGGTGTCTTGGTCTCTTTTCCCAAAACACTAGATTCAACTTTTTTTTTACACAGTTTAATGTATTAGTTTTAAAAATGAAACCTAGGCGCCATCAATTTGTAATTTTTACTGGTTTCCGACAGTTTTATCCGATCGTCAAGAAATATACGCCCAAACTAAACAATTTCTATCACAATAATAATGTATTTGCCCTGCAGATCAAATAAAAATAGACGGATACTTTCCCGATCCTAAAAATAACTCACGGCGATATTTCACGGGTTTTAATTGTTCTTTTAAGCGGATCACTTCAGATAAAATAAATATACCCTGAAGCAACATCACACTTGGCGTTAACACTAAAAATAACTTCTATATGTTATCCATTCTGCACACAGAGATCCATCTACTTCATACTTCGAGAATAAATCTCTGTCCTGAATGGCCGCCATATCCAAAAATTAGTATACTGTTTTGTAATGGTGTTCTACATCTGGCATACACACAAGACTAAATAAACCTATTCAATTCCTTTAAATGGAAGCAGAATAAATACTTCTCAAAAGTTCCGAGTATACTTAGTGTATCCGACTAAAATCGTCGATTAAGGACTTAAAATGTCAGTCAACTCAAGACAACCTAAGGTTAGTATTATATGTTATCTGATAGGCAGATTTAGCTGTTGTATAATGTATGTTTAATAGAGAATGTTTATTAAGTTCCTGTTGATGTTCGTATGGAACTGAAAGCACTAGTCGCGTAATACTGTGTTTCTTTCCTCAACATTTTAATTTTAATTATATATAAATATTTTTGGGACTGTCTTTGTTTCTGTTTGTCTCTGTTCATGGTTTGTGTCTACACTAGGACTGCCCGGACCTGAAGGTTCTGGTATAAGAGAAGGTCAACCGCGTAGTGAGATGTGGCGTGGCACTATCAATTCCGACAAGGGCTCATAGAACAATGATTTGTTTTACCCCTTGATAACTAAAATTAACAAGCAGGGTCTAAAACAGTATATGCGCTATAGGTGCCAGGGCCTGTTTCTCGAAATCTTAAAAGATAAAATCCAAATTTTAGTAGATACTTCAATTTTGATTCCCTAAGCACTAAAATTAACCTGATATTATCCAATCAAATTACTAAAATTTGGATTTGTATCTTAGTTAAAATTTCGTGAAACAGGCCCCTGCCCAGTAAGAACAGAACAGTACCATCAACGTTAAACCCCCATCTATGTGTGCCACTCCCGCTCTCGGTGGTAGGGGGTTGGATGGTCGAATGGTTAGCACTTGCTTGCTGTATCATAAGACCTGTCATTGAGTCAACTGGCGTGGTTTCGAATCCCCGTTTGTACGTGACAAGGAGTAGGGTCGCCTGTCCAACTTCGAGGGTTTTCTCCGGGTCCCCCGGTTTCCTCTCACTGCTAAAGAACCCTACGCGCAAGCAAATTATTGAAATAAAATTAAACCATGTGTTAGTCCCGAAATTACCTAGTTTGTGTCGAGTGGACGTTAAACCCCATTTCTCTCTCTTTCTCTCTCTCTCTCTCTCTCGCTCGCGGTTGCGCTACTTACATAAAAACAAAACTACTTGGTTTGTCTACCTATTGAAGTTACATCTATTCAACAGTATTAAATATATATCTAGAGGCAGAATATGGTATACAAAGATAAAGCTATCCATTGTAGTAAATATAAAAAAAGTATATCCTCGTTTTATTATAATAAGTAGAAATAAGAAGGTGCCCTGGGCGTATATTGTTTCAAAGGTAAATATGTTAAATTATTGATCGTTTTAAGGATCCAGGTACTAGAGTAGGTCTTATTGACATTTAACTGGGTTATTCGAAGACAAATGAAATGAAATGGAGTTTAACGTCCTACTGTGCTATGAGGGAAATTTTGCCCGGACAGCGGCACTACGACCTACTCTTATATCGAATTCCAACTGCCAAGGGATCTTTTACGTGCACGCCAATGTGTACACGGGACCTCGGTTTTTCGTCCCATCCGAACGACTACACAGCTTTCCTTGTCAGCCCCTCCGTCCTACATCACTGACAAGGGAGAACCACGCCGGAAAATCTGGATGAACTTTCTCGGCCAATGCAGGGATCGAACACCCGAGCTAGCGTCTTACCCACTTAGCCACGTGATCCCCTATTCGAAGACAAACTCATTGTCATTTTGACCTTCTATATTTAAAAGTACGAAATATCTGAATGGGCTAATTCCGAAATTCTAGTTGACCTGTTAATTATATTAACAAGGTTCATTTATCACCGCGGTCTTGTTAACCGGGGCGCCTCTGTGAGTAAGGGACTGGCTCTCTAAGCTTCGCTCCCAGTGCTGACCGTGAAGGTCAGGTTACACGTTGACGTGCTTGTAAAATAACACTCGACAGTTGAAATTAAGAGCCATATCTAAAACTCAAGGCACATTGTATGGCGTATGATCGTCTTCATTAGCCCAGTCGGGGCAGAAAAGTAGGACGTTAAACCCTATTTCATTTCACTGTAGCAACCAACAAATTTACTGTGAATTTACACAATTCATATTCTGCATGATTTAAGTATGAATATTATATGTAAGACACAAGATGACCTACGTTCTGTTTTATGGATTTGATCTCTCTCTTGATATGTGTTGATGCTACCGACAACAGTATTATTTTGAACAAATCTGCTACGTCCCGCCTTTCTGTCGTAACAGCCTTTCCGTTCGTGTTGCCTGTGCAGGATTTGCGAATTTTGTATTAACGTGAGCCACCCTCAATAGTATTATTTTCATCAGAATGTGTGCGCCCTTAAAAGATATTAAAACAGGTATTATGTACGTAAATTAAACAATTATCTTAAGTGGAGCGCCACCACACAAACAGTACACCCCCCCTCCATCTCTTTCTCGTTTAAATTTATATTTGTCTTGTTGACTTCTAGTGCGCTATATGCAATTCGGTTCTCCTGCACTGAGAATCAATTAAATTAACAAGCCACGAAGAAGATAACAAGTAAACAGGTAATTGAAGAAGGCGATTTAAAAAGCTAAGCGTTCTGGGTAATTAAATACGATCTATTGATATAGTCATTATATGACGTCATCAAACAAAAACTTTACAAACATCATTATATCTAAAGAGGCATGTTGACGTTAACCCTCATTAATTTTGTTTGTATTGATTAAAAGAGAGAACCGTTTTCTGTTGATATTATTTTACGTGATTGAAAAACGACAAAACAAGTTTAAATTAGCGACACCTCTCCTGGAACGGTGAAATGTCTAGTAATTCAGATGGGATGAAGAAAAATTCGATGCCCCATGTACACTTGTACGTGTAAGTACAAGAACCTATGTCATGGGCATAAGGGGCCAATCTCAATTTGGGGGGCTGAGGCTATTTCAAGGGCGGCCGTTGATTTAAAAGCGGTTGTTAAGTTATTAAAATTATGTTGACTGGCCATAACAAATATGATATAAGAATTGTTTTGTTTGTTTGTTTGGTTGTTGTTTTGGTATCATTATTATTCATGTCTAAACATTGTTATTCTTGTCAAAGCATTGTTGTTAGTTCAGTCAATCATGCATTGATTTTCTACATGCGATAAGTAATGTTTAATGGTCGAGAGCGAGACGTTAAGTATATTGTTACAACAAAACGGCCGTAGGCCCGAGTGTTTTTACAATATAGTACGCAATGTCTTAAGCTCAAGATCATTAAACGACGTAATATACAAACACTCCGCATGTGCTTTTACAGTGAAATACGATATGCGACTCCAATATTTCACTAGTATAAATAATGTACGATTGACAAGTTGCCCGTACGAATATTTGGAAAAATGGTACGCCAACATCAACATACATTCATATGTATTTTAAATATTTATAATACACACGACGTTTGTACAGCTACAGAAGGGGTTGGGGGCCTTCCACTACCAAAATAGAATGGGGTTTAACGTCTTACCGTTCTGCTATAACTGGAACAATGAAACGGGACGTATACGCGGTACGCACTAAAATATCTATATTATACGGCGTGATTGCGTATTATAGGAGACGAAGCTACATACTACTGGAATTTCTATATTTAATGGAAGATATGGCCAACATAATATGGGCGCGTCCTAGACATTCGACTACTGACATACACTGATAATAAGCATGATGAATACTGAATGATCACCTGTGCGGCGCAAATACATGATCGAGTGAAATACTGTGTTCGTATCGTTTAAAGTAACTCACGATTTCATTTATCTTTTTTAGGTCGCATTTGATGAGAAGCTGAAGAGTTGTATCTTGATAAATTACAGATGTCATCTTGGAAAATTTGATACAATGAATACATAGATTTACCAATGGCGGTAGTAAACTACATAGTGACTAAAATATTAACAAACAAAACTTATAAAATGGTTTGAAATAGACATTTCGAGTTCGGTTCCCACGAAAGCTGTAATTTTTATCACCATATTTGTGGAAATTTAATATTCTACATCACCATGACAACATTCGCACCAGATCTCGTGAATGTCGTCACTGGTCTTCAGGGATTATCGCCCTTTCCTTTGGGATCACTACCCGGAAGTAAAGTAGGCGCAAGCGCGCCTGAAAGTAACAATGAGTCCAATTTAACAGTAGAAGAATTGGTGCTGCGAACATTGGGACCACAGCGGAAGGATTTATCATCCAGTGTTTTACTGACGTGTGTTTACAGCCTCGTTTTTCTCTCAGGATTCGTGGGCAATGTGTGCACGTGCGTTGTCATAGCGAAGAACCATTACATGCAGACAACCACCAACTACTATTTATTCAGTTTAGCCGTGTCGGATCTAATGCTTATCATATTCGGTAAGTTGTATTTCTTCTTCTTTGTAATCTTTCCAACTGGTGTAGTTTCGAATCCCCGGTCGTACGTGAGTAGGGTCGCCTGTCCAACCTCGTGAGTTTTCTGCGGGTCCTCCGGTTTCCTCCCACTGCTAAAGACCTCTACGCGCAAGATAATTAGCGAAATAAAATTTAACCATATGTTAGTCCAAAAATGACCTAGTTTGTGTCGAGTGGACGTTAAACCTCATCTCTCTCTCTCTCTCTCCCTTGTAATCTTTCTTTGTCTCTATCATTAATGGTGTATTGAGTAATTGGCTGACTCGCCATCCAAGACGTCCGGGGGTCGGATGTCCTGTTCTACACCAACCGGGATAATGAAGACGTACACACGCAACGCAATGTACAGCAAGAGAAATTTTGTCCGGAATTCCAACTGTCAAGGGTTCTTTTACGTGCACTCGAACATGTAAACGGCGTCCCTTGCTAGGCCACCCATCCTGCACCAATTACAAGGGGAAACCACGCAGGAAACTTCAATGGACTTTTCTCCGTTAAAACCGGTATTGCCCATGGTTAGCGAGCCAGTGCCATACTGAGCTACCGTGAGTCTCTGACAGCTGCGAGACGAAACTTATAATATTCAATAATGGTAAACACATATTAAAGATTATTTATACAAGAATATACCAGATGTTTCGTTTATTTAACGGTATTATTAGATTGTTTTAATAATTACACTTTATGATGGGTGTTGGCAGTGTTGATATACAAATATCGATAAAACAAATCAATGCCTTGCTGATGTCCTATTTTTGGTGGTGTATATCATGTGCACGTATATCAGTGATACCTTTAAGTACTGCAGATTTGTGCCTATACACCGCTTCCCATAATGTCCGTCTAAATGTTTAGCGCGCTTTCAGGGCCGTAACTAGCTCAGAGCAACAAGGGTGGGGGAGTGTTCTCAGGGGTGCTGTAATATTGACGGACAATGTATATCTATTTTTTATGGTCTAAATTTTTTTCACAGGGAAGGGCGAAACGGTTTTTTTGCAGCGCCCCCCCGCCCCAGTTACGGGCCTGCGTGCTTTAGAGATTTTTTTTTCGGATAAGGATTTCATTTCATTCGACCTAGAGTCATCATATTGTGCGGTTGACCCTAGGCGTGATGCTCGCGCAATCTGTGTCCACCACCTTAGAGATCGGTGAATACGCTACAGCAAAGCGACAGTGAATCAAGCGAGACACTATACATGGTGGACAGGGCATCACTCAGTTCTATGTTCCACGCATTTGGTTGGCATGCATCAAACTAAAACCGTGTCAAATCTAAATGAAATGTAAAGTGCTACATTGTTTTGTCAAACCTGGATTACTGTCATTTCCACCTATTCCACATCGCTGCGTCGGTCTAAATCAATTCCATCTGATCCAGAACAAATCAGCCAGAATTATAAGTAGAACAAAGCAAATAGATCAGCTAACTACCCGTCTGGCAAAGAACAGTGTCTAGTATTGTAGTTGGGACAATAAAAACAAGCTCCTGTGTACACATTGGTGTGCACATAAAAGAATCCTTCACAGTTGAAATTCGATTAAGAAATGCCACGGACCATTAAAACTTTCCGTCATAGCACTCTGCATAGCGTATGCCTATCTTCAATGGCCCGATTGGCACAGAAAAGTGGGAAAAATTAATGAAATGAAATGTGTTTAACGTCCTACTATTCTGCTCTGATTGGGCTAATGAAGACGGGCAACATTTAAAATGTAATATTATGTCGCGTAAAAATGTCATATTGCTACGGTAATAATTAAACAAAGTCTCGATTATCTATTTTTACGGTATCCAACACAAAACATACTTAATTCCACTAACTATCGCAGGCTAGCGATGGGATAGAGAGTTGAGTATGGTCTTGGTAGTTAATTAATGTCTAATTAATAATTTAGATAACATTTTATGGCTATAGAAAGACCTGCAATAGACAGATTTAGTTCTTGCATAATGCATGTGTTAAAACATTAATGAAACCCACTGTTAATGTAAGGCTATGATCCCTTGTCTAGTAATGTAAGACCAATATCCCATGACCCCCATAAGCCCCAGTGCTACAGGTGCCTTAAAAACCTTCCCAGGGAACAATTGGTATTGGTCAGCCATCTTGTTTAACTAGTGTGGTCGACTTGGTCGACAATTAATATACTCTGACATGGTCCGGCTAAACTGGGACCAAATGATCCACTGTCTTCCTTATATATAGGCTTAACTGGTTAATAGATAGTTTAATCTGCCAACATTGATAGACGTGAACAAGACTCAGAACATGTCTTGAGGATCAATTATATCGACTGCTAGACGTGACATCATCGACACCTGACAAAGCCCGCAATTTCACAAGACTCAGACCTTACCACTCCAACTTTTTACAAATAATTACACTGTCACTTAAAACATTCTTCGACTGGAGAAGCTATATTGATACACATCAGAGAGAGAGAGAGAAAGAGAGAGAGAGAGAGATGGGGTTTAACGTCCACTCGACACAAACTAGGTCATTTCGGGACTAACATATGGTTTAATTTTATTTACATAATTCGCTTGCGCCTAGGGGTCTTTAGCACTGTGAGGTAACCGGAGGACCCGGAGAAAACCCAGAAGGTTGAACAGGCGGCCCTACCTATTGTTACGTACAAGCGGGGAATAGAAACCACGGCACTTGACTCAATGACAGACCCTATTATCAAACGCGCACGCGTTAACCATTACTGTTTGTGCTGTCGCTCCATCTGATATCAATTTTTTGACCAGTTTATACCCCCTACACAGACAGAGGACATCCTGCATACGCTGTTGTTACGTACATAATACTTGTTTAAATATCTTTTTAGGGCACACAAATTCTGTCTACCTGCCTCTTCCGAATTAAAAGTCACCAGTATGGCTACCACCCTCTCATGTCCGAAAGTTTGTAAACACATTAGGAGTACCAAACGCTGTAGAAAAATATTGTTTTTGACAATTTCATTCATGTTAACACGTTTTTGAGTGTGTTATTGTGTACACATAAGTTTTGATGGCCGGATGGTTAGCACGTGCGCACTGTATCGTAAGGTCTGTCACTGAGTCAACTAGCGTGGTTTCGAATCCCCGGTTGTACGTGACAAGGAGTAGGGTCGCCTGTCCAACATCGTGGGTTTTCTCCGGAGCCCCCGGTTTCAACCCACTGCTAAAGACCTCTACGCGCAAGTCAATTATTGAAATAAAACTGAACCATGTGTTAGTCCCAAAATGACCAAGTTTGTGTCGAGTGGATGTTAAACCTAATTTCTACCTTTCTTTAATCGATGATAATTTTGTGAATATTTGCTTCTAGAACATCAAAGAGGTCTATAAAATGGGGAATCCCTTTCAAAATTAACTTTAAACTGATGCTAATGATTTCTGTCTGCACTCTAGTACGTTTCTTGTTTGTTCGTAAGCGAGAATATAAAACAAAAGTGGTCTGAATCCGATTATTTAATTCAGTGGCACATAACTCGTCTGAAACCCAACATGAACGTAATGGATTTTATACACAGTATTTAGCATCAATTTAATTTTATTTTTGAAAGAGATTCCCCATGTTACAGGCGTCTGTGGTTTCTGGTTCAAACAATGTGGTGAAATGAAATGAAATTGGGTTTAACATCCTACTGTTCTGCTGCAACAGGTGTAATGAAAACGGCCATATGCCATACAGTGTAATGTGGGGGATATGTTGCCGGGGCAGCGGAAATACACTTATATCGAATTTTACGTGCACGCCAATGTATACACGGGACCACGGTTTTTCGTAACATCCGAACGACTAGACAGCTGTCCTTGATCTGCCCCACTGATGACAAGGGGGGACCACGCTGGAAAATCCCGATAAGCTTTCTCGTCTAATGCAGGGATCGAACACACGACCACCATGTTAGCGACCCAGCGTCTTTTTTTTTTTTTTTTTAATTATTAAAATTCAGATTCATACATTAAAATACAATATGTGTCATACAATATAAAACTAAAACATTAAGAGATAATTATATCACAGACTGAAACTAAACAATATAACTATAAGTAAATAAATAATAAATATATCACAATATTTTATCAAGGTTATTGTCTAATGCAATAGAAGAGTTGAATAGTAAAAGTATTCATTTGCTCCACTTTATTTACGGCATCATCAACTGATAAAAATTAACATGATAGGTAATGGTCTAATAATAGAAGCTACCGGGGGTGGGGGGGGGGGCAGCTGTCTCAACTGGGCCCCGAATCGCTCCCTTTTCATTAGACGCAATACGAAGCCAACAACCAAGGGACCCATATCAGTATGGCGCCCCATAAAGCCGATTTACATTGTTTGGGATGCCCCCTTGCCCCCCCTCCCCCAACAGAGCTAATGAACAGACATACGCTGGTATGCCCACCGAAAAACCCTTGACAGTTTGGATGCGAAATAAAAGTAGAATCGCTTTACGGAATAGATGTCGCTAATAGCACACCGTGTGACGTACACCCGTCTACATAGTCCAGCTTGATACAGAGCAGTAGGACGCGAAACCCCACTTCATTTCATTTATTTTAATATACTAGCGCTTAATTAAAAGAAGTATTTGGTTTCTTCGTCAGATCATTTACAGAATTTAATTTAAACAGGAAGACATTTCTTACAGAATTGATTGAATTGGTTAAATTTTGTTGACACTTATCTGTGCGTTCGCGCTGGATTTTCATTAAATTCCACAGGATAAATTACCGAATTGTATTTATCTTTTGGGTCAGTTATAGTACTGCAGTCTAATCGGAAACCAAAAAACCTGTTCTCAAACATTATAATGAGTTAACAAAAACTATTTAAACATATTTTTGTATTTAATCCTTTTGGTGTTCCAATGAAATTTATTTTCACGTATTTGGAAAATTGACTTCAGTATGGGGTAACTGCCTGTGGGTTCGCCGAGTTTTCATTCATTTCAATTGGATAAAT